TGATAGGGACTCATCCCTTTGCTGAAATAAATCTAAATACAATTAAAAGCCAACACAAAGTTATGTTCCTTTCATCAATTTCCCTAGATATCCAAGCTTGTAAACAATATGGTCTGTTTTCCAAGATATTACAGTCCACAGTTAACTGTTTTGCAAACGCTTTATGTAGATTTTTTTTTTTCTATCTGAGGATGCTGCCTGTCCCTAACTGGTATCTCCAGTGCATATTTAGACTTTTGGTAAGGCTGGTACTTTAAGATACCAGTTTTTTAACTGGTCAGGGTGATGCTATTTGCTATACAAACAAACCTCCAAACTTCAGAAGCTAAATATAATAGAAATTTAATTTTTAATCACATAATAATTAAATCAAGGTGGTTTTGATCTGTGCACTGAAAATCTTATGGCTTTGCTTTGCTTAGTGGCCTTGCTATTCTCTTCATATACTGCAGAATGGAGAATGCTTATCTCCTTATTAGAAACCTGGACCCTGAAATGACACTTAATATTCTTACTAAATTTTATTGCTAAGAAGTAATCAGAAATAGACAAATTCCCTTACCTGTTGCTTCTTAGCAACAGTTTGACTCTGAAAAAGGGAAAGCTAAATGGTGGTAGGCAACTGGCAGTTCTGTCAAACCTGGAATGCTCCGTCCCTCTCCAATCTCAATTTCTCTTAAAAAAGAACATTTTTATTAAAACAATTATCTTGAGCATAAAAATTCAACAAAACTAGAAATCATCTCTGCTTTTGTGGATATTTCATGGTAGTAGTTTGGGAGATAATAACAAAAGTCTGATGTAATTGGAACTGTGGGAAATATCATACAGGACATATAGAGCATAGAGTGCTTTGATATTACTGTATTGATTAGCTTTCTATTACTGTAACAAATACGTGAGGGCCAGGGATTTAGCTCAGTGGTTCCACTGCCTGCCTCATAAGCGTAAGGCCCCGAGTTCGATCCCCGTACCAAAAAAGCAAAAACAAACAAAAAAACAAATACGTGAAACAATCAACTGAAAAAGAGAAAACGTTTATTTTGGCTTATATTTTATAGGTTTCAGTCTTTGGTTCATTAGCCCCATTGCTCATGGCCTAAGGCAAGGCAACATATATTAGAAGCATGTGGTAGAAAAAATCCACTTACATTATGAGACAAGGGGTAAAAGAGAGGAAGAAGAGGAAGCCAGGGTCCCACTTTCCTCTTGAGGGAAGACTTCCAATGACCTAAATATCTTCCATTAGGCCCCATCTCTTAATTTTCACTACCCTCCAATAGCCCTGTACTGGGGAATAAGATTTTAATACATGGACCTTTGAGATCTAAACTATAACTGTACTGCAGAGTTCACTTGGTCAAGGAGAATAAAAAATGTATCTTGAGGATTCTTAGCTCTGAAGATGAATAAGAATTTATATTAAATGGGGAGGGAAAGCATGTACAGAAGGAAAGAGTATTTATGGGAGGCTCAGTGGCTAAAAGACTAAAAGAAGTGTGTTCTAAGAAGTAAAAGCATAAGTAGGTACATCTTATAAATTGAAGCCAAATAAGTAGGGAGAGATCAAAACTTTTAGGCTATGTTTGAAATTTTTGTAATCACCTTAAGTTCAGAGCAAATGAAATTATTTTAAAGACCAAGGTGACATAGTTAGATTTACACTTTCAAATACTTTGAAAATATCACGCTAGATTACAGCATGGAAAACACTGAGTACTGGTAGACAAGTTAGAAGGTATTTTGTAGTCAAAGCGAAGCATGATGAAAGCTGGGACTGGGGTAGTGTAATGGAGATTGATAGCCGTTGAGATGTTAGATAATAAAATTAATGATGAAAAGGAGGCTTGACAAATGGAAAAAATAATCTATGTTCTCAGAAAAGGTCTTAATATTATAAAGACTTTTTTTAAACCTAGAGTAATTTAAAAAGCACCAAGGTCTCCATAAAATATTTTTAGGCTTTTCCCCCCCAGGAGTTAGGCAAGAATATTAGGAAAACTTTGAAGCAGGCAGCAATGAAAGAAGCTTAGCTATAAAAGCTTAAGAGCAATTCTTAGAGGTTTTGATTTGCATGACTCACTATTTAATGACAGCATTTAATGATAGCATTTATTGAAAATATGTATAAGGACTACTTTAGAACTCACAAAATTCTAAAGTCTTCCCCAAATTCCTATTTTATCTTATTTATGCATTGCAGAGTCTGACAGTGTCTTTCAGCTGAAAGACCTATCAGACACTGAAAAATCAACCATCTAGTATTTGTGTGTTCTAAAGAGGCTTTAACGTTAAGAAGTTTCAAGCTTTTTTTCTGGCCAGTCAGATGAGAAGGAAAGTAGGCAAGAGGAAGAACAGGGGCCTCCAGGTAATGAAAAGCATGGGATAGGAGATAAGAAATTGTGAAATAAATGCTTTTTTTTGAATTAAAATGTGAAGGCATCTAAGAAAAATCATCTTTTCCAAAATTTTTCTTGGCCAGAAAGTCTTCTAAGAAAAAAATTTGGAATCTGAATTTTTAAAAATTTTTGTCATTCTAATTAGGACAGTGTGGGATTTTGGGTGTGTGGGATAGTGCTCTTTTTTATTCTAAGATACCTTTGAAGTGAACATTTGTTCATACAAAAAATTCTCCAAAGTGGCCACTGTGGTTCATATATATCCTTGATGAGATTATGTCATTCTGAAAAATAAGGTTATAACATGAATGTATTCAGTATGAAATTAAGTTATGTATAATATAAAAGCATGAATATATGTAAGAAGCTTGATTCTAATTTGAAGAGGGCATGGGCCTAACTGAAACAAACCCATAAAAGTCTGGCAGTGTTGGTCCTATATGTACAGTCTGCTCAAAAAATATATGTGAACTTCAGCAGTTCACCATACTAATAAATGTCTGAAAGCTAAGGCCATTACTTTAAGCACCTTCTGTAACTGTAGAGGCCAAAGGTAACTCGAATTGATCTCATAATGTTTCAATAAATTCAGTACTAAAATATTTAACAAACTTTTCTTTTCCCGATGTATACATTTTTTGGCAGATCCTGTGTATGTAGTACTTGTACACTTGTGGCTTGGGGCTTCCTAATAGTCGTCTCAAATTCAAGACTTAACAGATCTGTCATTTTAGAAGGTTGAAAATGTGGAGGTGAGCTGTCCCAGAGGCAGAAAACAACTGAGGAAAGTTTTTATGACATTTTAAAAAGTGACCAAAGGCAGAATTTTTACTGTAAGGATGGCTAGTGTGGAAGAAAACAGGTGAACATGTCAGTCCTTGGACCTGGCTCCAGGATGCATTTAGTGGCTTGTACCTGTTCACTTTCCTAGGAATTTTCTCTTACAGACACATAGCAAAACATGACAAAGATAGATTCATGTAGGGCCAGGGATTTAGCTCCTTGGTTCCAGTGCCTGCTTCACAAGCACAAGGACCCAAGTTCAATTCCTGGTACCATGAAAAAAAAAAAAAAAAAAAAAAAAAAAAAAAAAGATTCATGTTAGAATTGTTACTAATAAGATGGGTTTCCCTCTAGCATTCAGGTTTTTAAATCTGATCAGATAGTGAACAGACTATTAAAAAGGACTCTGCTTCCTTGAAAACAAATTAACTCAACGTTTTGGAGTTTAACAAAAGGAGACACCGAGACCCACTTACTTCTACACAGTAGTTAGTGAGACCTCTGAAGAGGCAGGCTCATGGGGTCTCAGAGGAATACAGGTACACTGTTTCTACATTGAAGGTCTTAGCTGTTGCAGCCTGTACCGTGGGTAGCGGATTCTAGAATTGCTAGCTAACTCAACAGAAGTCTAGGATAGCTGAATGATCTGTTGATACCAAGTAAAGCTGAGTTTATAATACAATGCAGTAAGGGAGGGCACCACCTTGACAGGTTTAGTAGCGTCTCTGTAAGGAGAAAGTTAAGGCGCAGATATTTACAGAATTTGGAGCTAGAATTTTTAAGGGAAGACTTTCAGTTTTGGAATCTAAATGACAAGGTTTGTGATATAAAAGTTTATCTTAGATCAAAACAAAGGCCAAGGATTTAAAGCTGGTCTTGATAAGTAAACAGTGATAAGAAAAGGATTTGTCTTGAGAAAGGAACTGTTTGCTCAAATCAAGAATCAATATCACTTCTTGAAAGTTTGCTGATTAATGACTGACCAACCAGCCTGTTGTTCAGGCATATTAGTTGTTGGAGAGTCTCATTCACAGATGAGGGTGGCTATAATTATCCATCCTTCTTAACTATCCATCCTTCTACTTTCCTTGAGTAGTTTGGTAGCATTGTTATGATCACATCATAACGTTAGTTGAGATGGTTTCTTTCTTACAAGAAGTTCACCCCAGTTTGTTCCTTAGCTTTAGTGTTGGATTGTTGGTAAATCATATTGTCAGGAATTCTGCCTTTGGGACTTCCCTTGTGTAATTCTGTGAGTACTGGGTTATAAGAATTTTCCATTTGTTTCTGCGGTGGATCCCTCTTGTCAGTGACCTGGGACTTCACTGCTTATAGCCATTTGGTTTTGCTTCAATTTCTTTTGTGTGAAGTGTACTACTTCCTAAGGTTGTTGTGAGGATGTAAAAAGTTACATAGTGACTCAACAGCAGATGGGTTTTCCCCAATAACTGATACATTTAGAAATCATTTATAACATAAATAAACTATGTTTATTTGGTTTAGGTATATACTTTGTTTTATATACACCCCTATGCCAATCTCACACCTACTCAAAGGCTTTTGAGTCAGTAAAATTTGTAAATAATTAAATTCAGATGCATATAATAAGTAAACTTATAGTGGTAAGAATAACTATCTTCCAATATAGCAGTGGCATATACTTGATTTATTACTTTTACCAAAGTTTTATATATGTATGTGTCAGCTGTGTGTATTACTCTAAACAGTACTACTGTATATTATACTACTATAAATTATATATCTATTTATATCTATATCTATATATACATGTGGATGTGATTATGTATTTTTAAACAGGTTATCAGAACACCCCATGGGAGAGACTTCGATGACTCTCTAGAAAGGTGTGAAGAGTACCTGAGCCCAAGGTCATGTAGCAAGCCCCAGCACTCAGCAAGGAACTTACTCGTCCATTCAGCACCCTCAACAAAGCCAAAGCATTCTCCAAGCCCTGTGCTAAATAGAGCTTCTCTCAGGGAAAGGTAATGTGTAGTCTCTATTTCTAGAGCCAGTCTTTATTAGCATTAGAAGTGGGAGGCAGCAGTTGTGTATGTGAAGTGATTATTTTGTGAAAGTACAGTATAGTTCAATTTTGAAGCTTGCTTAATTTTTGTTTACAAAATATCGCATACTACATAGTATGCACTCTCCCTAGCCCAGTGCTCTAGAAATGAGTTTATTAACCAGATAGGTTAATATATCTTTCTGGAAACCTAATTAATTAACGTAGTTTTTAAAAGTGAAAACTAGAGTATGTGACAGTTTTAGTAGATTCATAGATATTTAATATTATAGACATGCCTTAAGTAAAGAAATCAGCAATGGTAAACCTTTTAGAGATAAGTGCCCAAACTGCAATCAGAACCCACTTATTCATTGCAAAGTGCCAGCAATGCAATTAAACTTGAGTACTGAAATTGTAGTTTAGAAAAAAATTCACACATTAACATCTTTTGTCTTAAAAGAAAACAACACTGTGCCAGCACTGGGCTAGATTATATTTTTCAGCTAGTCATAGTAGTGATTTATGCATTTCTAGTAGTGATGTCCATTTTTCTCAAATAACTTTCCACCAATTCCCCCATGAGAATCTTAATCATGGAAAAATTACTTGTAAAATTACATATAAAAATTAAAGTATTGTGATAAACAGTTAATTGTTATAATTTTTTTTCAGCTTTAATTGAGTTTATTGGTACATTTTAGGGATACAGTACAGCTACATTCATTGTTGGGATCTTGTACCTCTACATGACAAGTCTTGATTCTCATTTTTTCCCCTTACCCCTGCCCTCCCTTCACCCCCTCCTCCCCTCCCCATCTAGAAACATTTTATTTTCATCTTTTCATTATCTCACATTTTTTTCTTTTCCTTTATTACCCTTCCCCTACCCATCCCACCTTCCCTACACCTTTATCACAGAGAAGTATGCGCACCCATGTTTATAGCAGCACAGTTTGTAATAGCTAAATCTTGGAAACAGCCCATTTGCCCATCCGTTGCAAACTGGATAAAGAAGATGTGGTTTTTCTATAAAATGGAATATTACTCAGCCATAAAGAATGAGAAAATAGATTCATTCATAGGAAAATGGATACATACTGAAGATATACTCCTAAGTGAAATAAATAAGTCACACATGTGTAAATACTGAATATTTCCCTGGCATGAATAATCTGCAATAAAACATAAGATACTTGTTATAATTTAAATATGGAAAAATTGTATCTTCCTGTATTAAAAACATCAAATTAGGAAATTCCTCGCCTCTGTCACAAATGTTGACATAAAAATCTATGTTTTGTCATAAACTGTGATAAACCTTGATTATTGTAAAAATTATGTAAAATTGAGGTACAATTTGGAAGTCATTCTGGCTTAGCAGATGTTATAGAAATGCCAAAGTAGTCCCTGAATTCCTGAAGTATCTTAGGGCCCTCAGACATCATTACCAAAGATTCAATTAACTGTAAAAAATGATATGAAATGTTCAGCACAAAACTGATGACTCAAGCTAGAGTCAGTTTGGCTTCTACATTAAACACTCTGGAAAAAAAGAGAAAATTAAATAAACACTGTTATGAACAGAGAAATTTTCTTCCTCTTTTGCTTTGTAAGTATTCAACAGGGATACATAGGAAGCACGTACTGAGATACAGAATTTTGATCGACCTTGCTTCTGGTCGATCACGTGTGACTTAGAATAATGTGTGACTAGAGGGATCATTGACCCATTGGCCTAGGCGTACACACAGGTGAGCACACACAGGTAGACACACACAAATTAAAAATTCAAAAGAAATCTTGAAGAGGCTCTTCTGTTAAAACTGTCATAGGTAGCTTGTGTCTCGATAGCAGGGAGCTTTCCTTGACTTACACACCTGTTTAAATGTTCAGAAACACGTTGGTGCCACTTTCTGTTTAGCTATTTGTAAGAGTTATGTGCACTTATAGTTTTGTTGGTTAGGTTCTTTGCCATATATGCACTTTTCACGAATCTTTTTACCTATATTTTTATATGCTTTAATAAATGTTGTTTTACTTTTCTACTTTTTCACCTTTATAATGCTCTAATTGTGAATCTACCCCTATAGTACAGTATCAGTGTTAGTGCTTATTACTTTATCCGTGTATACAATTTTGTTCTAGCTTTGACTCCTATTCTTTCCAGGTTGATAAATTCTTCATTGAGATTATATTCAAAATTTCTTCACTAAGGAAAAACTCAGCTGTCCCTTTCCTCATATTGCAGTGCAGGGAATAATAGATTGGATAGCAGCATTTACATTTTATTTTCATGTCAGATATGAAATACCATTAAGTTGTTTGCTAAAATGAAATGCTTGTTTTTGTATTAAAAATTATCTATTTTGCCTGTAACTTAAGGAATGTTAAATACTTTAAAAATAAAGGAATAGAATGGTAACTTAAGCTCGTCTAAATTAATTAAAATTTTATTGGTGTACTCTCTAGGAAGATAGGCATGATAAAATTATTTATGCCAGAAGCACCCTATTTTTAGTATGTTTTTAAAAATAATCTAACTTAGTCTATGAAGGAAAATAAAATGTCTTTAAGGCTCATTTCTAGGAAGGTAAACATCTCACTCTTTTCAGTACTCAGTACCACATCTTTAAATATAAGACATTCTCTGAACTGAGTTTCTTAGATCTCCGAGCAGTATATTTGCAGAGTGTTTGTACAACCCATTGAACTCAATAAATAATTTAAACTGATGTAAACCTAGATTATATTTCCCAGGGAAAACTGGAAAATTGTCCTGGAAGCTGTATGATAGAATATACAGCTACAGGAGTTTATGTGAAAAAAATATTGATTGAAATGAAATATTTCATCTAAGAGTACAGTAAAATGCAGGCTCCTTGTGTCTCTGAATAAAAAGATTTTTAAAAAAAATTATCAGTGGCTTTAAGCAAATTATTATTTTTGAGGCAGGGTCTTGCTCTGTGGTTCAGGCTGGTCTTGAACTCACTATTAGCCCAAGTTGACCTCAAATTCATACTGATCCTCCTCCCTCAGACTCCCAAGTTCTGGGAATACAGCATGCACCGCTATGCTTAGCTAGCAAATTAATTTTTTGAGTTCATTTAAAAAAATGCCACCAGCCAGGTGTGGTGGTGCGTATCAATATCCTAGCACTCAGGAGGTGGAGGCAGTAGGATCATTGTGAGTTCAAGGCCAGTCTGGGCTACATAATGAATTCAAAGCCAGCCTAGATTACATAGCAAGACCCTGTCTCAACAACAAAACAAAACAAAACAGTTCAACAAAGGCAGCCCACCAATAAATGGTTTTAATTTTGATTGTATTTTTCATGGACCAGGGATTTAGCTCAGTGGTGTTGCTGCCTGCCTCGCGAGCGCAAGGTCCTGAGTTTAATACACAGTACCACACAAAAATAAAAATTAAAAAAATTCATATTTTTCTTAGCTTATCATTTTTTTCTTCACAGACAGTTCTCTGAAAGGAAAGACTAGACAGATGATGTCACCTGTGTTGAGGAGGAACCATTATGTTCCCTATATTCTAAAAGTATAGGAAAATGATGACTCTAATATTATGTACATTTTATTCCACTTCATAAAATTAGGATTTTTGTTAATATGGGGAAAATTTTTTCCATATATTTTAAGAGAGTTTTATCGTTAGAGAATAGAAACAAGTGTTAAAGATATTGTACATAGGATTATTCTAATACAAAAATCTATATCATTATTAGAAATAAAACTAAAGAATTACGTATGGAAATCATTAAAATGATCAGATATATTTAAGTCCCAAATGCATGTCCACTTAATTATTAAAATTATTTATTTATCTTCCTTATTGAGTTTATTGGTACATTTTAGGTATACAGTACAGTTACATTCATTAATGGGATCTTGTACCTTTACATGACAGGTCTTGGTTCTCATTTTTTTCCCTTGTCCCTGTTATTGAAGCTGGGGATTTAGCTCAGTGGTCCCACTGCCTGCCTCGCAAGCTCAAGGTCCTAAGTTTGATCCCCAGTACAAAAAAAAAATGTATTCATTGAACATACAGTGAAGACTTAACAGTATAGCTGAGAATCAATATCTGACTGTATATCCTTCCCTTATCTTTGCTTAACGGAAGAAAATATGTTATTTTAGCCTTAGTTTATTATATAGTGTTAAAAATTACTTTGTCTGTCTGGTACTTGAAAATTTGTGTTTCTCACCCTCTGTCTACAAGTTACTTTTGTTTTTATGTCTACAGATTCCATTCTGATTGGTGTTCACCTTCAAACTGTGATGAGATCCATGACCGGGTAAAAAATGTCTTGAAATCACATCAGGCTCATCCAAGACATTTATATGTTAGTTTCTAAAAATTTATCTTGAAAGCTTTTTATTAATAGGGCAGGAAAACCATTTAAGATGCTTAAAGCTTGTAATATTCAGTCACTGGGAAGAAAAAAGAATCCTCCACTTAAAGGAAGTCAGTATTTTGCCATAAAGAGTATGCTTCTCTTTCTGCTTGATCTGAGACATGTAAAATGTTTGCTGTGGATCATCCGAACTATAAACAGTGCTAGGGATAATCATCTTATAAAGAGCCAATAAACAGTGATTTCATTATAATTATTTCAGTCTTCAAAATATGGGAACTCTTGTGGTTTAGTATAAAATAATTCTGTTTGCTCCAAGTTGATTTGATACCAAAGTGGTAAAATGGGGAAGGAAGGTGAGAAGTACGTAGTTTGAGTTTGAGGACACTTCTCAGCTGATTTATATGTTAATAAAAGGGCTGGGGATTTAGCTCAGCGGCACTATTCCTGCTTTGCAAGCGTAAGGTCCTGAGTTCAATCTCTGGTACCAAAAAAATAAATAATAAACATATGTTAATAAAAGATTCAAAAGACAGAAAGAAGAGCAGGTTGAGTTTATCAGGTTTAATATTAGAGAACCTCAATTCTAGTATATTTTGTAAGATATGATAAAAAACATTTATACATGCAACGGCTAGGAAATAAGGACAATATACTCTTTTGTATTTGATTATTGTTTCATTCAATAGTTTAAAAACATTTTCATGGGCCAGGGATTTAGCTTAGTAGCACCGCTGCTGTTTTGCAAGCACAAGGTCCTGAGTTCAATCCCTGGTACTGAAAAGGAAGAAAGAACATTTTCATCATTGTCATATTAGGCTTTGACCTTAGTCCTGGAGATATATCTGAATTATGTAATTATGTGAACCTGGGACTAGTGTTTATAATTTTAAATTTCTATGTGAAAACTACTTTTAAAATTAAACTTTCTTTTGAAATATAGCATGCATATATATATATGTATATATATATATATATAAACATAAATTATAAGTAATACCTTGAAGGATTATGATATTATAAACATAAATTATAAGTAATACCTTGAAGGATTATGATAAAATCAGCAAGATGGCTGGCTAGCTCAGTTGGTCAGAGCATGATGCTAATAATGAAATTAAACTCATGTAAACTGTCAGATCAAGAAACACAACATCATCAGCCTTGCAGAAGTCTTGTCTTTTTCTTGCCTCTGTCTCTCTGAGGGTAAACATCTCCAGTTGCTTATGAAACATTATCAATCTTCTTCTATGGCAGGATTAACATTACATGTTTTGAACTTGCTACAAATGATGCTACAGTATCTACTCCCATTTTTCCTACTTTGTTTTCACAGTTTAGACATTTTTGCAATTCATCTTGTTTTTTGTAGTTGGATTGTTTTTGGTTTGGATTACTATGGACTTGATAAGAGAGTTTGTGCATGTGAATGACATTCTGCGTTTCTATTTATTTATGTATCTGCTACTGGAATTATTCAGAGTATTGTACATTCAGCTGTAGTAGATTCTACCAAAGAAGGGTCCACATCACTTTAAGAGTTTCCACTCCCAATACCAGTGTGAGAGCTCCGTTTGTTACACTTCCTCACCAGTGCTTCATGTTGTGTGTGTGATTGTGTGACTGTGCACGCACTTGTGTGTTTCAGTTTTGAAAAGTGAAAAGTAATTTTTGACATGGTGGTTCTAACTTGCCATTTCCTAATAATAAATTAATATGTTTATTAGCAACTTGGATTTTTTTTTTCCTTTGTGAATGCCTGTTCAAGTCATTTGCCCATTTTTTCTACTGGGTGGTCTACCTTTTGTTATTTGGTTAAAATTTCCATGGAAATTCTTAGGTTTGCAATTTTCTTTTACCATCATGTGCCTTGTTGTCTTTCTTACTGCTGGCACAAAATGCTTAACATCTACAACTTCAAGGAGGAGAGGTTTAATTAGGCTCACAATTCAGAAGTTTCAGCCCACGTTCTTAGGCTTGACCACAGAAAGGGAATGGTGGAAGGGGAAAAAAGAACAAAAACTGCTTTAGTCATCGTGCCAGGAAGTAGAGGGAGAATGGAGAGTTATGCCCCTAAAGACCTGTGTCTTCCGATCAGACCCCAACTCTTAGCCATACTTAGCTATATCACCATCATAATCCAACCCTCCAAAAACTCCACCCATAAGCACATGAGACCTTTGTGGGATATTCCCATCCATGCCAGCCCACTGGCATTTTCACTTAAAAATATATTTCTGTTTCACGGTATATTTTTCTGTTATTAGGATAGCTAGTTTTCTTTTGGTTAGTACATTGAAGGTATATATATTTATACTCTTTGCTTTGTATCATTGTATTTAAAGTGTATATCTTGTAGGTAGTATATGAGGTTTTTTAAGAATTAAAATAGTATTTTTGTGGCTTCCCTTTAGATCAAAGATAGTTTGAATAATTTATTTTTTTATTAGTTTAATCACTTTTTAACTGCTGTTGTTTTCCACTGAGTTCAACATGGATATGACACATTATTTCTTTGCTTTTCTAATGATACGGAGATATGAAAAGATTTTATATACTTTTAATCTACCTCCTTTTTCTACATTTTTAAAATTTTAACTTAGAAGTTAGTTATCTTTGTTCATACAGGAACAATTAGTTATTTAAATTCCTTATTTACCTTATTCTTCATTCTTTCTTAGAATACTCTGTTTTGTTTGGGAATCTGATCATTTGTTTTTCCTGAAGAAGTCCCTTTACAACATCATTTCTCTTCAGTTTCTTGGATAGGAATTCAGGTTTTGTTTTGCTTTTCTTTATGTAGAATGGCTTTATTGGACACAGAATTCTAGGTTGGTAATTATTTTTCATTGGTATTTTAAAGAAGCCATTCAGCTTTCTTCTGGCCTCTCTTGTGTCTGTTAAAAAGTTAATTATTAATTCTTTTTAAGCAACATACCCCTACCTTATTGCATTTAAGATTTTTCTCTTTATTCTTAGTAGTTTTAGTATGATATAATTAGATGTGGTTTTCTTAAATTAATTATGTTTAAGTTTGCAGAACTTATCATCTTTCATCTATTTCAGAAAACCCTAAGAATTGGAATAATTTCCAGTAAAACTTTATGTGCACTAAAATATGAATTTTATTTAATATTCGTGTGAATTTCATATAATTCTTTTCTTTTTCTCCCATACATTAAAAAAACATAATGACTGTTCCTAACTCTCAGGCCACATTTGTTTTGGGATCTGTACTCTGCTTATCCTTACTCTAGATGATAAATGTGTGCTTCATTCAGGGATATTAGTTAGCATTCTTAAGTTACATTTCATGTATATCAGAATAGAGACAAACAGATTTCTCATTGTCAGAAAAGGAAGTTAAAAAGAAGCAAAGAGGTCAAAAGCTAAAATTAGCTTTATAATATTAGATTGGAGTCATGCATATCTGTCTATCTACATCTATATATATATCTATATAGATATACATATAGATATATGGAGTCATAGATATATTAATCAAATGATCAGATGGCGGAATGTGCCTGGGCTTGTTCCTACATCCTCTACTCTGTTCTGTTGATTCGCATGTCTATCTTTGTGGCGGTACCATGCTGTTTTTCTCTTGATCACTGTAGCTTTGTAGTAGAACTTGAAATCCAGGGTTGTAATGCCTCTTACTTTGCTCTTATCGCCCAGGATTGTTTTTGCATTTCTGAGTCTCTTCTGGTTCCATATAAATTTTTAGGATGGGTTTTGTTTTTTCTACTTCTGTGAGGAACACCCTGGTATTTTTATTGAGATTGCATTAAATCTATATATCAGTTTTTTAAGTATGGCCATTTTTTACAATATTATTTCTGCCTATTCAGGAAGAGGGTAATATCTTTCCATTTTGTGATATCTTCTTCAATCTCCTTTTTCACAGTACTATAGAGGTTTTTTATAGGTTTTTTTCACTTCCCTTTTAGATTAATTCCTGAATATTTAATTTTCTTGAAACTGCTATGAATTGGACCAATTTCCTAATTACTTTCTCGGTGGGTTTATTAATGGTATACAAGAACACTATTTATTTTGTATGTTGATTTTCTTTGTCACTACTTTGCTGAATTTGTTTTAGTTCTTGGAGTCTTTCCATGGAATTTTTAAAGACTTCTGTGGAAAGGATCATGTCATCTGTGAATAAGGATAGTTTGACTTCTTCTTTTCCTATATGTATCATTTTTCACTTCTATCTTGTCTGACTTCTTGCCTAAACTTTGATGCTATATTGTGTAGGTGGTGGTAGTGGACACCCTTGTCCTGTTCTTGATTTTAGAGAGAAAGCTTTCAGTTTTTCCCTATTTTATATGTTGGTAATAATTTTGTGATAAATGACTTTTATTAGATAGGGATAAGATCCTTCTATACCTACTTTCTTCAGTGTTCTTTTTATAAATCCATGTTGAATTTTGTCAAAGGCTTTTTCTGCACTATCAAGATGATCATGTGATTGTTGACCTTGCTTTTATTTATGCAATGTATTACATTTAAGGATTTGCATCTGTTGAACCATCCTAAGATGAAGCCTACTTGGTTATGATAGATGATGTCTTTAATTATTTGTTGCATTCTCTTTGCCAGTGTTTTATTGAGGATTATGTTTATTAAAGAAATCAGCTTCTAGTTTTCCTTTTTTGTTGAGTCTTGTCTGGTTTTGAAATCAAAGTAATGCTAGTGTCCAGGAATGATTTTGACAAGGCTCCTTTCCTTTTGATTTAATTAAAGGGTTTGAGGAGTATCAGTGTTAGATCCTTCCTGAAGCCTTCTTTCAGAATTTAATATTGAATCCATCAGGTCCTGAGCTTTTTTTAATTGGTAGGTTTTTGTGGCCCCAGTTTTATTGCTTGTTTCTGGTTTTGTAATTGATATGAGTCTTTTCTTGCCTCTTTTTTTGTAAGATTGACTAAGGGTGTATCAATTGTATTAATTCTTTTGAAGAACCAGCTCCTCAATTCATTAAT